GGGGGACAGAGGAAGTTTCAAAGCATCTATCAAATAAATGCCTCTGCCAGGTAGTTTTGCTCTTGTTGTGGCCTGAGCACTGGGATTTTTAAAAGCTTAGATGATTCCAGCATGCCCCAATGTCTGAGAAACATATTGCCAGGTTGACAGAGATATACCAGGAGCATATGCTGCTGCAATTGAGGGTAAAATCTGGTCCTGTGATTCTTGGAGGTGACGGACTAAGAGCAGGTGTCCCAGACCTGATGCACATTGCTGTGGGCTGGGAAGATTTTCTTTTCTGAGAAAGGATTTATTGAGAGGACAGAAAAGCTCCCACATTGGGAAGGGACCCGGGCGGGTTGTCCAAGATGTTTTTTTAAAAACTTTTTATTTTGAAATAAGAATAGAAGCCGAGTGTGGTAGCTCACGCCTCTGATCTCAGCACTTTGGAAGGCCAAGGCAGGAAGATTGCTTGAGCCCAGGAGTTTGAGACCAGCCTAAGTAATACAGGGAGGCCTCATCTCTACAAAAAAAACATTAGCTGGGCATGGCGGCATGTGCCTGTGGTCCCAGATACAGGAGGCTGAGGCAGAAGAATCACCTGAGCCCAGGACATTGAGGTTGCGGTAAGCTGTGATCATGCCATTGCATTCCAGCCTGAGTGACAGAGACTCCCAACTCAAAAAACAACAACAACAACAACAACAACAAACAGAATAGAGTTGCATAGATGGTACAACAATGTTCTGTAGAGCCCTCACCCAGCTTTCCAAATGCTAGCATCTTACATAATCATGGTCCATGCATCAAAACTAAGAACTCAGCAGTGGTAAAATACTGTTAACTAAATGAAGCACTTTATTCAGATCTCCCCAGTTTCCCACTCTGCCCTTTTTTCGAGTCCAAGGATTCGATTTAGCATCTCTCATTGCATTTAGTAGTCATATCTCTTTAGTTTCTTCCAATCTTTGTCACTTTCTTAGACTTTCCTTAGGTTTTCAAGACCTTGACATGGTTGAAGAGTACTGATCAAGTATTTTGTAGAATGCCCCTTGATTTGGGTTTGTTCAGTGTTTTCTCATGAGTAGACCTGGGCTGTGGCTTTTTGGGAAGAATGCCAATGAGAGGTTCTCATTATGGCATCATAAAAAGGGAGGTGTGAGATCAACACGACCTGTTACTGGTAACATTTTCTCAATTGGTTGCCAGTTTTCTTCACTATAAAGATACTATTTGTCCTTTTCCATGTTCTATTCATTAGTACTGATTTGCTAAGTCCAGCCCATGCTGTCAGGGAGGGAGAGCGCCAGCTGTTTCTGTTCCCATTATTTCAATTTGGTTAATCCTCATGGCTTTATTATCACCTCACTACTTTTCGTGGTTGTAGTTGTAATGAGCTACACTTGCCCAATGTTACCTAGCTAGTGAATGGCGAAGCTGGAATTTGAACTTAAATGTGTCTGGCTCCAAAGGCCACAATCTTTCCATGTCATGCTATTGCCACCAAGTAAAGAGGATCTCACAGTCTCCAAGGTGGGACCTCTCTTCCAGCCTGCCTGATAGTATTTTTTCAAATCAATCCATGGAGTGTGATCCATCAGTGGGTCAGGGTATCAGTCTGTGGGCTGCATTTTAAAACACAAAATAAAGTAGAGGCAACTATAACAATAGAAGAGTATGTCACACACACACGACACTTTTTATCTCTAACCTTTCTGTATTTTTCTACCTCTATCCTTGCAATGGGGAATAAAAAGAAAACACCCCCTGTAGGATTGTTATGAGGATTGAATGAATTGACATACGGGATGCTAAAAAAACCCGTATATACACTTAAATATGATGTTTTCTCAAAAGATGGCATTAATCAAATGAATACTAGTGTCACCATGCAACAGGCAGGGCAGTCACAGAAAATGGCAGATGCACGGTTGAGTGAATATCATACTACACAATGCTACCATAATTTAATTCAACTTTGAAAAATAATACATAGATAACATCTCTTAAAATATGTATACATTTTTTGGCACCCCATACGTAAAGTGCTTAGAACAGAGGCTGTATTAAACATTATATAAATGCTACATATGTATGTGTATAAATGAGTAATGATGTAAAATGTATTTTTTATTGTAGACTGCAATTGAAATGTATGAAAATACTGTACTCACATCTCTAGACCATGAGTCAGCGATTTATGACCCCCAGCCTATGGCCTGTTTTTGTAAATATATTGGAATTAGAACCTAGCCACAGGCATTCATTGACGTATTGTCTATGGCTACTTTTGAGCTACAATGGAAGAGTTGGGTTCTTGCAACAGAAACTCTGTGATCCATAAAGACTAACATATTTCCTATCTGGCCCTCTCAACCAACACCCTGCTAGAGGTCATCTCATAACCCAAGGAAGATTAGATGCCTCCTCTAGGCATGTGGTCTTGTCGTGTACTGTCCTCCTGGGCATGCTTGTCTCTGCAGACCACTCTAGGTTGTGTGACTTCTGGGTCTCCAGAAGCTCATTACCCTTCTCCTTTGAACTGATGCCTACATGATGGAAGGCTGGAAAATGGTACTTTGGTCAGGGTTCCAGCAGGAAACAGATGGCTGCTCAAATTAGTATAATTCAAGGAGTGTTTAATAAAAAGACTATTGACAAAGGTGAGGGCAGAGTGTAGCAAGGTCACAGATTATAGGAAAGCAGCATAGAATTCAAAGGCTAATAAAAGCAGAGATCTTACCACCTGAGCCAGGAGGGGAAGGGGAGCAATGTCTGAACCTAGATGGAGCAATGTCTGAACCTAGAAGGAGAAGGTCATTTAGAGAGAGGATACCTCAAGAGAAGCAGTGGCCTTTAGTCCAGGGACAAAGAGCCAAGTGACCCTGCAGGGAGGGAGCCAGGAGAATAAACGCTCCATCTTACCTTCTTCCATCCTTGATCTCCTGCTGAGGGTCCCCAGTGGACAAACAGAAATGGAAGCCAGAGGATGTGGGACTCATTGATATGGCCCATACAGGTCAGCTTCCCAGTCAGAGAAGGTTGAAAAGAGAAAGCTGGAGGAAGGATCTGGAAGGGCAAACCTTAGATACCCAGCATACAGTACTGGCTCAGAAAGCCAGGTTTAGGAATAAGCTCCCCTAAACAAGGAATTCCCCTGCTTCTTCTTCAAAGTTGGGAGTTTGACCCAAACACCAAAAGGTTGACATAGCATTTACCTTTAACTGCCTTCTCTTCCTGTATCTGCTTGCCTCTGGATGGTTATCACAGGGTTAATCTTCCTGAATCTTATCATCTGGGAAGGGCAGAAGGTTATGGACAGAGGCAGATAAGCTGCTGTGTGTGCGTGCGTGCTTGTGTGTGTATGTGTGTATGCGGGGGGGTACCTGAGCCAGTCTGATTAATAAGTGTAGACTTAGTTAAAGTTCTTCCTCATGCCCCATCTTTTGATCTCAGGAAGGAGTTGTGTTCCATTCATCTCTGCAACCCAGCTCATGTCCAACAAAACAGGAAGCCAACCTCTGACCCCTTGGGAGAAAGACCCAGAGTGAGAAAAGCTACCTAGGCTAGAGTAATTTGTCCCCATTGCCAGACTCCCCTACTAGCCAAGACTTTCTTGATCAGCATCTGATGTCTTATAGGCCCCCCAAATCTAGCTACAGAACTTCAGCTTGTTAACTGGAGGGGCTTCTCTGACTAGTCTAAAATGCTCAATTTATGAGAAATTACAGTTTCACTAGGAGGAAGAGGATGGCTTAGACTGCCCAGCCACCTCATAGCAGAGGTGGGGCTAGAATTCAGGATTGGAGACACTAATCCGTTTCCATATTTCTTTCACAGAAGGTAAAAGTTGAAGTCAGACTTAGAGGCCTGGGAATAGAATTGGCAAAAAAATCAAAATGTGGTCTAGTCTTAGGCAAGTTTCCTTGTTGGGCTCAGTTGCTGAGATGACACATATGAACCCTTGGCCCCACCCAGGAAACAGTTCTATGTAGGCAGAATGAAGCATAGGCTTAAGTCAGGCAATCGGGGCTCAAAGCCTGCAATTCAACATGTTAGCAGTTGTTTGACCATGAACATGTTACTTTTTATGTTCATGAAACTCAGTTTCCTAGTCCTATAAACTTGAAGTTATCACCAACCACTAAGTTATGTTAAATCCAGTGCCATATAAGCAAGAACCTTGTAGTATCTGAAGGCCAAATAAACATTTTTCTTTTCTTTTCTTTTCCTTCCAGTTGGAAGACTAGTGGAATATTTGCAACAACTTCTACAAAAAGCTAGAAGCCAACTAGTTTGTAGCTGTTTATAGTTTTGTGCTTTAACCCTCAGAAACCGGGACCCTTCCCATGAGAGTGGGAAGGTCTCCTCATGTGCTAAGAATTCAATCTCATTTTCATGAACTCAAGTGTAATTAACAAAATCTCAAAGTTCTCATCTCTCTTTCTCCTCAAATTTCTACAGAGAAATGAAGAGTTCAGACTCATAGCCCAAGTGCTCTGGTTTTAAATTAGACAACTTTGTCCTGACAGGAATCAAGTTGCAGCTGTCATACCTGATTACTTTTAGAGTTACTACTAAACCCTTTGTATGGCATGAGCTGCCACTGTTCAAGGCAAACAGAAAGACTTCACATTTTATCATGACAGCCCTGGAGCCAGCCGCCTCCTCGTGTTCATTATTTCCAGCCTGTCTTTGGAAGGGATGATGCGGCATCCTGACAATCCTATAGTGAGGAAGGCAGACCCCATGGCTTGTTACTACACCTGAAAGATTTAAAGCCCCCAGAGCTGAGAAAAACCCACTGCCTCTAGGAAGCCAAGGAGAGCTATTTCCCAGAGGGGAAAAGGTGCTTCATGGCCTTCTGTGGATGAACCATCATCTCTCATGAAAGGCAAAAATTGACCTCAAGCAACCAACCAATAAGAGTATCTGTATGCAAATACACACAGGTGTTGGCCACTGGATTGGCCAACTTGTGGATGATGTCACAATTTCCTTCCTCTGACCACACAATGCCACCACTACTGAAAAGGTTGACTCCTAACTACAGTTCTTGCAGAGAGAAAAATTCACCACAAGTAGAGCACCTTCTAGATTGCTCCTCGAGTGCGAGGACAACAGTCTGCTGTCTAAGTTACTGCATCCAGAAAAAAATGACCTCATGAACATGGGAAAAGAAATCCAGCCAAGGCCCAAGGCAAATGTCTCTTCTTACATCCACTTTTTTCTGAATTACAGAAACAAATTTAAGGAACAGCAGCCAAATACCTACATTGACTTTAAAGAGTTCTCTAGAAAGTGTTCAGAAAAATGGAGATCCATCCCAAAGCATGAAAAGGCCAAATATGAAGTCCTAGCCAAGCTCGACAAAGTCCGATACCAGGAAGAAATGATGAATTACATGGGCAAGAAGAAGAAACGGAGAAAGCGGGACCCCCAGGCACCCAGACGGCCTCCATCGTCCTTTCTACTCTTCTGCCAAGACCACTATGCCCAGCTGAAGGGGGAGCACCCAAATTGGTCAGTGGTGGAGGTGGCCAAGGCCACAGGGAAGATGTGGTCTTCAACGATGGACATGGAGAAGCAGTCGTATAAACAGAGAGCAGCTGTCCTGAGAGCTAAGTACCAAGAAGAACTCATGGCCTACCATAAACATCGCAGAGCTAGAAAGAAGTGCCAAATGTTGGCTAGGAACCAGCACAGAGGGAATTCTGTGTAAGTCAAAAGCTGATGGATACAACTGGAAAAAATAAAATGCCATTCAACTGTATTGCCTGTCCCTGGTCTCATGTGTGGTGTTAGAGGAGTGTAGCTACTGCTTTGGAGAAGTGAGTGGCCAAATGGAGGAAGAGTGGAGCAGGGAAACTGATCCTAAGGAGGGGAAGGGAGAGGAGGAGAGGGGAGGAGCTGGCTTTAAGAGATGCTGGCAGCAGTGTCCAAATGATATGGTTTGGGCCAGTGGGTGGGAATCTCCAGTCATGGAGGTATAGTGGTGATTAGGTTGGAGGACCCTACTTGGATCAGGTGCAGCAACACAAGGCCTGGCTCTGGTGAGAAGGGTGGCAAGACTGAGCAGACTGCTGGGACCAGAAGTCCTAGAGTTTATTTAGTTCAGGCTCCCATCTTAGGTCCTAGTGGAGAAACATGACAAAACACTTAGTCAGGAGCTTGTCTATGATTTTACAAAAAGAAAAAAGAAAAGAAGTGGGCAGTTCTGACTAGCTCCCAGGCTTGGAGTATTCAGTCATTTTTCAGTGGATGTAAGCATGACATACAAACTTATAGCCACCTGGCATCCATTCTTCCTCTTGGTCACAGCACCCTGACTCCCTTTGGTGACTGATGCTCACTCAGAGGACAGAATCTTCCTGACTACAGTAATTAACTCAGTGACGGGCATGTGACCCAAAATGGTTCTAGTCAGATCTCAGGATTTGTGTAAGGAGTCTAGGGGAGAGTGCAGCCCAGGGGCCTGTTGATAGCCCTCTGCCATCTCACAGAGCCTGAGAATGAGCCAAGATGGTGGAGTCCCTGTGGCATCAGAGCATTCTTCTAAACTTTTCATTGAAGATGAGCTGCCTGTTTCATTTTTTACCTAAGATGATTTGACTTAGTTTTTCTGCTACTTGACTATAATTTGACATAAATGGAATTGTGCTATAAGTGTCTGTACAGTAACTGGATTTTTCAGGTAACAATATACTGCGGGCAACATTTCATATTAATCAATAAAGGCTGAAATGGAATATTTTGAAATAGTTCTTTTGACTTCTTGACATCAAAAAGATCGGGCTAAAATGCAAAGCTGCTTTTTTATCATCAGGTTATGCATGCAATAGTCCTCCCTGACTCCACCTCCTAGGACCCCATTCAATGATGGAAGATGTACACATTCTACTCTACTGCACTATTTGAACTTTTACTTTAAAAAACAAAAGTAAAAATACATATTTTTGAACAGCTCTAGAATTGTGTGAGCCTTTAGGGGATGAGAGGTATATAATGGAGTGGTTTAGAAATTCAGGGTCTGGAATCAGGTGATTTATAGGGGATTCTCATTTGCTACACTCTGTTCTGGGTATGGGGAGGGACATCACGGACTACTGTTAAGCTCCTGCCCTGTAAGAACTTTCCTTCTGATGGGCAAGATGGACTTGGGCACAAATCACAGCACTATAAGGAATGGTGATGAAAGTGAATACATAAAGTGCTGAAGGAGGGAGCGGGGTCACCCACCAGGCCCATCGCTGCAGGCTTCATGAAGGAAGCAGCCTCATTCCACTTGACAACCTTGTATGTGTGCTGGCAAAATTCCCATTTCCCATTCCCCACAGCTGCTATTCCAACTTGGCTCTGCTTCCCTTCCAGCCCAACCTCCACCCTCTCAGGAGACGCCCTCATTTTCTGCTTCATTGAGAAAATAGAGATCATCAGACATAAGTGCTCTCGGTTTCCTTCATTCTCAAAATGCAATCCGTGCCCATCCTCTCTTGATCGTGCCATGTCTTGACGGGGAGCATATCCCCCTCTTCCTCTTGCTACCCTCTCCCTGCTTCCCTCAGGCCCTTGCTCCTTACAACAAGGATGCTGGTTCTTTAGTCTCAAAGCCTGTGCAAGTTAATTTGATGGTGGTTCCCATGTCAACCTTGGCAGGACCTAGGGCAGGTTATCATTCCTTTGAGCCTCAGGTTCTCATCTGTGCAATGGGATAATGCCTATCTTACAGGTTGTTTTAGCAATTAAATGAAGTAACATATGGCAAAGTATTGTGCACAGTCTTGAACACCTAAAAAGTACAGTGGTAGACATCCTCTGGAGTGGCTGTTCCATATCCTCTCCCCTTTCCTGGTGTTCATAACCTTGTATAATTCCCTCCCATTAAATGTGGGTTGAATCTGTCACTTTCTTCTAACCAACAGAATTTGATAAAGGAGGTGGGATGTCACTTCTGTGATTATGATTATGTAATAATATATAATACTCCATCTTGCTAGCCATTTGCTCTAGAGATTCTCCTTGCTGCTTGATGAAGTCAGCAGCCAAGTTTGAGAAGCCCATGTGGCAAGGAATGGCAAGGAACTGCAGGAACTCTCTAGCACAGGGTAGCCTCAGACCAACAGCCAGCATAAAACAGAAGCACTCAGTCCTACAACCACAAGGAACTGAATGCTGCAGCAGCCACATAAGTGAGGAAATGAATCCTTCCCCAATTGAGCCACCAGGTAAGAACTCAACTCTGGCTGACACCCTGATTGCAGTCTTGCAAGACCTCAAGTGATGTACCCAGCAAAGCTGTTACTGGACTCCTGGTCCGTGGAAACTGTATTAACATATGTTTAAATGTATAAACATTTCAAATGTAGAAATGTATGTTGCTGTAACTGTATAAATGAATGTTTAAATGTATACATGTTTAAAGTATATAAATGTAAGTTGTTTTAAGGCACTAAGTCTGTGGTAATTTGTTACAGAGCAATAGAGAGCTAATACATTACTCAATAAATGCCAGCTTCCTTATAATTTTAAAAAGAGGCTGTCATTAACCTTGTTTCTACCTTAGCCTCTACCCTCCTATTTAATTTCCTTTCCTTTGATACCAACCACTTATTACCAACCTCTGGAAGGTGGAGGAGCCCCCTCCCACCCTCCAGTGGTAATTAGATCCTGACTTATACTACTCTGTAGTGGCTCCATTTGGGTTGTCTTGTTTCCAGCCTCAACTGCAGGCTCTTGGTGGGCAGCAGCTGTGTGATGTGCCACACTCCTCTCTTGGAAGAGGGCCCCCACACAGCCTGGCCCCAGCCCTCATGCCACCTCTTTCTGGTTTCCTGTGTGATTAATTATGTGAATGTGGGTGGCCAAGACAGAATTTTGACAACAGTTTGCAGTGCTCCTGCTGAAAACTAACTCCATTAACAGTCTTTTATGAAAAAGACAACAGGAGGGTGTGAATCTGCTGGCTTCTAATGACTGCAGCGTAATGATAGTGGAGGGAGAGGGAGGAAAGAAGTAGGAGAAGTTGGGGGGAGACTGGACCTAAGATAATAGATGACAGAAAAAGGAGGCAGAAACCTGGTGTGGTGCCAGTCTTCCAGGTCCAGTTGGCCTCAGGTGCCCCTGTCCTTGAGAAGAGGATGGAAGGCCCATCACTGTCTTGGTGACTGAGTCACCCTCTCTGATCCTTCTCTCCTAGAACATTTTCCTGTATTCATGTATCCATTAATTAATTTATTCATTCATTTAACAAATATTTATGTAAATTTCATGCCTGCAATATAGCAATAACTGTTCTGGTGCCAGGGATACAACAAGGTCTCTCATCTCTCCCATTCCAATGAAGGGGAGACGGTTAATAAACAAGCCGACAAATAAACACAGCAGATCACTTTTTGATAGTGTCAAGTGCTCAGAGTAAAATAAACCTAGGTAATAAGATAAGCAATGACAGGTAGGATAGAGGGCATTTAGAATGGGTGGTCAGAGGCTCTCTGTGGAAACAGCATTTGGGTTTAGATTAAAGAACAGAAGGAACCAAGCCTGCCAAGGTCTGGGAGAAGTCCTCCAAACAGCAAGTGCAAAGGTCCTGAGGCAGGAATGCTTGATATGTTAGAGGGAAAAATGGGAAGCCAGAATGACTGGAGGTGTGAACAAATGGGGCAGGGGGAGGGGGAGACGCTGGAAAGGTATAGGCCTTGGCAAGGGGTTGTACTGAAATCTAAGAACAACGGAGAACCGCTGAGTTTTCAGTAGGGAGAGCTGTTGCTTCCATCTTTGACTTCTTGTCACTGCTCATTTTAGAGTCTTAAGAAATTACCTGATATCAAGAAGGGGATGCCCTTTTCCCCGAGGGCTGCTAGAAAGAGAGACAAGCCTAGAAGACCAAGCACATGACATCTTTCCCTTCTGGAGGAGAGAAAGGCACCTCCACTCAGTGTTCCCTGGAGCAGTTGTAAGCTAAAAACCAAATGTGAAAACCACCTGTGATTCCTTTTCCCAGAAATGGAGGGAATAGGGGGGCATGGGAGGCAGAATATTCCAGGGGAACCCCTCTTCCTAGGTCTCATGTTCCCATGGGGAATAACTTCTGCTAAGCCAGTGATTCTCAACTCTGAGCTTGTGTTACAATCACCTGCAAGGCTTATGAAAACAGATTGCTGAGCCCCACTCCCAGAATCTGATTTATAATTTCTTGGAGTTGGGCCAATAATTTGCATGTCATACTGATGCTGATGGACTCAGGACCACAGAAGAATTCTTCTTCTTTTAGCCACTCATTCACTCTGCAGAGGCCTGACTCGTCTGACTGGGGAGTTTGGGAGGAGGAGCTGACCATGCTCAGTTCTCCCTCTCTCTCCCTCTCTTTATCTCTCTCTCCTCCCACCCCCAACTGCATAACATACCCAAGTAGCTCTCTAATCCATTCATCAGTAATAAAGGTGACGTGCTGATCCTCATCTGTCTTTCTCTTGCATTGGCCAATTGATTCTTCACCTGAGAGGGGAATAAGTATATGTATTGGCTTTCCCTCAAACCCCAAGGGAGAAGTTGATCCCAGTTGCAAAACAATCAACTGGCATCTGGGTCACACAGCAGCACTGGGATCTTATAGTTGGTTTCAGCCCCCACTAAAGCATCTATTTTTGGGGGGCAAAAAGGTCCAGTTCCTGGGCCTTTATGACTGGAGGTCAGGTCCATGAAAAGGATGAGGTGATCAGGATG